GTTTTTTTTGTATGGTGGTGCAAGCATTAGCATAAATCAGTTATTATCACATCATTAATTTGGAAACTGTTTCAAAGATGTGCAGTTCTCCATACAGTGGCAGACAGAATTGCCAAGGGGCCTTTAACCACTGTGTATTGGTTGACAGCTGCATAGAAGTTAGCAGTGTCCAAATGTACACCGTGGGACAGTGCGATGGGATCCTAGTACCCATCTGACCCACATCTGGTAAAAAAAAGTACCTCTAAGTCCCAGAGGGTCCTTGTGATTATGTAGTTTCACAATCTGCACAAATGTTATCCCCCCTCCCTCCCTCCCAGTCTTGATAATTCTTCTTCACTTGCAGTAAAAGTTGTGTCTAGCGCAATTGTTTTTAACCAAGCATTATAGTCTGCATCATGATTTTCTTACAAGGAAGATATTTTCCATCTGCAGGTATCCATGCTAATGCAGCACAAGAGTATTTAAAGCTGAAATTCAGGAAAAAAGCTAACCATGCCGCTAAAACACCTACTGTATATACATTTGTGATTTGATTTCTTTACCTGTCAAAGGATTTGTCATCCTGGTAATCCAGTCTTCAGACATAAAAACCTCTGCTACACTACCTAGCCAGTGAGGAGACAATGCATCTTTTTTCTTATGCGCATGTTTGCAGTCCCCCATATGCTCACTGGGCAATACATCAGACACCTTTCTAGACCAACTACCCATTTTGTAAAGTAAATATTGGAAAACACATTACCCAACTCTCAGTAAACATTCATGTTTCTGTTGTGTGAATATTGCAGACTTGTAAGACTTGTGTAAGTTCAATGATGTAATCGTACAGGTACATGAGTTAGAAGGCCTTCCTTGCAATATCTGAGTGCCATCATACAGCTCATGTGCTGGGTTTCCTAAAAAGTGAAGCTAGTGATGCCCCATCAATGTTGGTACAGTCTTTTAACATTACCCCTATACATGACCACTAAAAAAGCATGGGCTATACCACCCATAGGCCTGACGAGATGTCACATATGCAGAGATAAATCAGACATGCTTTTCAGATCCTCTGTGTCTCTGCATCAGGTAGTCAGATGACATGTAGGCACAGGAAAGTTTTTCCTATACTCCGCAAAAAGCCCTTGATCTGACAGCACATCTAATTTTACATGATGCCTTACATTCAAACTCAAAATAGGGTTGATATACTAAAGGTGTAGAGGCTGTTCTCTTAGCAAAGTTAATGTTTATTTCAGATTTATTTGATGCTCACTTTGCAAGTACATGATAGTATAAAAGTTAAAAATTGTGTTTGCTTTAAATACCCAATCATGTGTGAGAAAAAATTGTTGCTAGCACAAGATTGATTGATTAAAATTTCTATTCCTTTCCAGTTTTTATTGGCTGACATGCCCACATGCGAAATGTCCACAAAAACATTAAAGGTAGACTATAATGGTGTGGGGTCAGTTTGGTATGTTAAGGTAATCTCTGTAGGGGTAGGGTCAGGGAATGAGGTAGTAGTGGTCTCAGAGAGGTTAACAGTTATCGCAAGAAACATAGTTACTACCAGCCATTGATGCTTAAAGTGATATTAAACCCTCAGATTTTTTAACATAAACCAATACTGTAATGTGTGCCTTACTGTAATCCATGGTTGTTTCCCTTCTCTTTGCTGCTCTTCTTTTTAAATCCTCATGTCTTCTCATGCTTCGGGAGAACTTCCCTTTTCAGCTCAGGGCCTCTTCTTGTAGTGCTGGCTCAGGTTACAAGCCTATACAAACCTATACACAGACACCGTGTATCCATTCCTGAGACAAGGCAGTCTGCTGCAAAACAGAAGTTCTGCCCAGCATGAGAACAGATACAAATTTAAAAGGAAGAGCAGCAAAGAGAAGGGAAACAACCATGGATTATAGAAAGGCACACATTACAGTATTGGTTTATGTTAAAAGGGGGGTTTAATGTCACTTTAATGCAAACCATTCATTTCATCCACAAGTCAGGAACATAAATGCACAAAATAAAAACCAAAATTAGTATGTCGAACAAAGAGGACACACCTATACATGGTTCCTTGCAAAGCAGGACACAATCCCAATGGATTGCTGGGAGGGCAAGTTGGACCGCTGACCAAAATACACAAATCTGAAATGTACTGTTTTGCTTCTCATTTTGCAGATTTCCTATATTAATGCATCTTCAGTGCTGTTAGAGAATTTGTCATCTCCAAAGACTCAACATTTTGTGTTGCAAATGTCACAAAAAGTATTGGATGGAGGTTAGGGAAAAAGACTGATATTGCCAAACTGCTAGATTTTCTTTAAACAAAAAGTTATGCATGTAGTGTTTCCTTGAATGCAGCAATTAAAAAGGCCAAGTTTTTTTAAAATAACATAATTCACTCCCCTATATCACAAAAATAAACCAATTTCCAAGGATTCATAAAGTTAAAGGGGTGTATTAGCCACTGGCACGGTGAACAGCTCTGCGAACAAGATTCATAGGGCATTATGGCTAATAAATGGAGCAAAGAAGCATCAGAAATTCCTATGCTCCTTGGCTCTATGTAGTGGCCATAATTTGTTGTGAATCTCATTTTCGCAGAGCTGTTTGCTGTTTACTGTGTATGAATACACTCCTCAAGTGAACTATAATAGAAATATGGTATAAATAATGTACATTACGTCCATTCTGCATGTTTTTTGGAGCAAAGTTCACCTTTTTAAGGACACCAGAGTGGGTGTCACCCGGGGCGGCGGCCACGCATGTGATATGACGTCCATGGTGTGATGGCATCACACATGCACGGTGATGTTCTTGACTGACGGTGGCCATCTTGGTGAATAACGCCAGCAAAGGGAGGTGGAGTTATTGACCCAGCAGTTCCCCCCTCTCTCTCGTGCCACTGAGGCTGGTCGGGCCGTGACCGACTTTTAAGAGGGGGTGACTGTCATTTTGGTGTCATCCTCTCTGATGGTGTCACCCAGTGCAGGCTACATCCCCCACACACCCCCTTGTAACGCTACTGCAGGACCCCATATACACAAAAATGTTTTATAATTTATTTGGAATGAAGAAGTAAATTATGTTTTTATAAACCTTTATGCATTTAATTGCTGCAAGTCAGACAATGACAAACTATACAAAAACATTGAATTATTTACATCAGACCTTGTCCCTAGTGTCCCTGCCACAGACACGCGAAGACCAATTTTTGTTAAAAAAAAAACAGTAAAAAACTAGGAGCAGAAACCAGAAAAAGTTTATTTAAACATAGGAAGAACATAAATCCCTAACATATACTACTTCTAGTAGAAACTGGATCCTGGATACCTGTGTTTCGAGGAAATATAAGCCAATGCATAGCCCATGATAAAACTTACCATCTCCCAACACACTATGCAGCTTGTATGTATGTTACTGTTGAAATATTTAATGAACGCTGCTGTTAGCCTTTGCACTGGTGTGTTTACTGTGCAAAAAGGTGTGTGATCTATACAAGTTTAACATATTTCTTTGCTTTATTAACTTTGTTCCACACCTGTAATAACCTATAGATAAAATGACTCAAATCCCTGCAAAGCAGTATTCTACGGCACACTGCCCACAGAATTAGTTTTTAAAAAAAATTATTATTCCTTCATCTCTAATTGTGTGCTCTGTAGTTGGAAAGAAAATAAATAAGTAATCTCACTGGGCCTGGGCAAGATAAACAACATGTCAACAAAGCTTCCAGTCTACTCCATCTAAATGCATGAAACATGTATCTAAGCTAATTATAATACATCCCAAAATAGGTTTAATAGCTGACCATACCATTCTAGCTCTGTGCTGCAGGTGTCTTATTAACAGACAACACAGCAGGAATTTTTCTTCACTAAGTTAAAGATGCTTTCTATTTCCTATGTCTTGATTTATGTGAAATGTACTATCTTATATATCGATTAGTATGGGTAACTTTAAAATGACTAGTGGAAAGACCACTTTTTCCAAAAAAATATGGTATTGGGATTACCATATGTGCTTAATTTATGCAGAAAAAAAATCAGTTTATGTAGTCCTTCGCTTTATTTCATGTGCATAATTTTTTTTGTTTTTGTTCTTCAGTTAAATGCAGAATATGCTGTCCTGGAAAAGTGACAGTAAAAGAAGATGGTGTACCTCCCCACTTTCTGAGACGAGGAAGAGAGACACCTTCCAGCACAAAATATTTAGGCAATGGACACAACCCTTGCCATATCCCTTTTTATGTGGACTACTATTATGTGGACTACTATGCAAAATGATTGGTAAAACCCAGAACAGTTTTTTTGTACCATTACTTTTCCTTTTTGTTAGCTTTTCAAAATAGCCAAGATAATTAAGAAATGAGATAAAGGTTTTAGTACAGAATAACATATTTGGTAGTTAAATAATACATTTAAATAGATATCTATACATCAGAGCAAAAAGAGGGTCAGCTGTGGCAGAAAGTGGGACACAGGAATTGAGTTCCAAATGATGAACAATTCTTCCAAATGAGAGAGAATTGGGAAGTATACAAATTGGGGTAACCCATAACACTGCTAGGGTCACATAAAACAATCATTATTCATTCCCACTGTTTAAACCTTCTTACAAAAGACTGCTCAAGGAACCATGACAGTGCTACAGCTTGTCCCATCCCCTGTCACTTTTGATGGACAACTTGAGTGGCAAATAAATGTGGAAAAATATAAACGAGTACATTAGTAAAATAAGAAAAAATAATTTGTATTGAATATTATTATTACATACATTAACCACACACTATATAGAGGCACAATTATAGACTTGTCTCTGCAATACATCCCCTCCTTAAGTCATGTTTTACATCAAGCCTCACGTCTTTATGAAATCAAGGACACAATTTGCAGTTGCTGGCATTACTGAGAGCCAAGGAAGTGCTCTTTGTATCCTTCTGTTGTCTACAAAATCATACCTTACTGTAAAGAAACAAACATAACAGAATGATCTTAAATAGTATTGCTTACGTAATGGTGTCAATCATATCCAATCCCATTTCAACACAGCAATGTGCATGATCTGTTTTGGGCTGTGTTAATCCAGATACACAGTAGTAACAGTCTCCAAGAATCTTAATTCTTCGACAGTGATTTTCCTGTAAAAAACGGCATTGTTAATTTGTTTACAGACTGTGTTCACATGTAATATTGCATAAATAATTATATAATCATTATCAGATTTTCTATCACATCTTGTTTTTGCTGCACATGTTTTGGTTTTACAACCATATGTATTTGTCTTTGGAAATATCTTATGTATTCAAACTTCAGAAATCATGCTTTAACACTCATATAAATCATTATTAATAATAATAATAACAATAACTATAATGTGCACTTTTTCATTACAAGCAGAATAAAAAGCATGCCTCAGAAATCAGAGCAGTACATGGTTTTGGTGTATTCTGCAGCATGTACTCAATGGCCTGTATAGTCATTTTTATGCAATGGACAAGGCCACAGAGGATACACCCATACTCATCCTAAACTCTGGGCATTATTCTACAGCAGTGTCTGTGGCCTATGCAAGATTTAGTGTATGAGCTACAAAGTATGTACTGTCACCATAGTCAGACAATGTAAATACTGTCCAAGCAGGACGGACAGTGAGGCTGATGTGAGGTTTGATTTTTGACGCTACTATGAGAAGGACTCGAGGAGAATGTGGGGATTTCAAGGGCCTGGAATGTCCGCTCTGAAGATGGAAATATTTAATCTGAGGAAAGGTTAATTGCAAGGAGCAAACAATTAAATCTGATGCCATTTAAAGTAAATTATTTACAGCCTGAATGCATGTTGTTTGAATTTTAGTATGAATTTAATCCATATCAATGTGTAACTTGAGCCTAGTAGTTGGCAACACCCTTGAAAAAATTCTAAATCTGTGAATGAATGTGGTGAATGTGGCAACATTTCACTTTGTAAAGCATACCTAATCATGAGCAAGGAAAATTTTAAAAAAATGAATTTTTGTTTTGCGCATTATTGGGTGATGGAAGTCAGCAGAACCTCACCTAATTCACTAAGCCAAGTGAAAATTCCCTTGCAAAGTGAACAGCCTATTTGCCTTTAGTAAATTCATTCCAATGTGTCGGCCTGATGCCAATATGTTTGTCTGGATTTGCCACATCTAGATCAGTTACACAGAATTTGAACCAGTATTGTGAAGTAACTCTTTATTTTTAATGTAGCTTTTTTCCATTTTTCTAGATTCTCTTCACTTCATGATAGATTATCAGAGTCTGTTTTACATCATGGTGTCACATTGTGAATAATTATGCAAACAAATGTTTGCGTGTTTGTTTTGTTAAAATAACATGGTATCTATTGGTCTGGGCACCTCAGGCATGTGTCCCAAGTATCCTCCACAGGATACTTGGTGACTGTAGTCCTGTTTAAATTTAGCAACCATGCATGGTCACTGTGAAGCCACAGGTCACACAATGCCTGACTAACTAGGGACACATTTAAAGTTAACTAATAAAAAAGGGTGCCTGGTACAGGAATTGGGAAAGCATTCTATGTTCTTGAGCACCTTAGTGTCATACGAACATGCTGCAGTTACACAAGTTAAAGTTGAAAACCCTATTTAATAGAGGTGAGGAGGTGGTGTTCCACAGTCCAGCAGACAAAAACTAAGCAAGGCGGACACAATTTTTAATCATTTTAATGCAGCAGCGGTGGTAAGGCTTATTTGCAAAAAAATGTGCATGTATATTGATGTACCACCCCAATTCCAAAAAAGTTTGGACGCTGTGTAAAATCTACATAAAAACAGAATGCAATGATTTGCAAATCTTATAGACACATATTTTATTCACAAAAGAAAATAGAAAACATATCAAATGTTTAAACTGAGAAAATTTACAATTTAAGAAAACAGAAAAAGGTCATTTTAAAATTGGTGGCAACACGTCTCAAAAAATCTACCAGCGCAAAGCTAATTGATTTTAATTACAAATACCTGTACACACATTTCCCTTTGTAAGGAATATTTTTTTGTTTATTGACCATGTTTTTTCACATCTTCCTTTGTAAAGCTAAGTCTTCCTTTAAGGGAGTATTTCACCAATAGTCACACTCTACAAGCTTACTTTTCTTCTAGCTTCATTGTTTCTAACTTTCTATGGTGTTTTGCTCCTTTGTGTTTTTAATTTGAGTTTTAAGTGGCTGTAGTAGGGGGAATTGTGTGCATCTCCCTTCTCCTACTAAACCCCTTTCTTTTTTTGTAGTGTTACAATAGTTGTACCATACTTGTCACATGGTAAATAGGAATGCGATTTGGGCTCAAACTGGTGAACTTATTTGACGATGGGCCAAACTCTGAATTCAAGGGTGTTCGTCGGGAGTGCCAAAATGAACATTCTATAACGACTTGCACTGAACTTTTTTTTTTTGCATATAAATCTTTATTAAATGATTCAAAAATAATACAGTTCAATAGGTACAATATAACAACTGCATAGTCGGCAGAATTTAAAGAGGACATACAAATAACATCATATAAACCATCACGGTCAGACATGTGGTCCAGTAAGCAAGGGCAGGAAGATTACTGTATATCTCTTGCACAGCGCAGTGGATATTTTTGGTGAAGACTGGAAAGGATGCAGGATGGGGTTCCTACCCACATCCTGAAACAAATCAGTCACCTGTACCCCCACCTATTCCATGGCCTCTTCTGGTGAGTCATCATCTGAATCACCAGACTCTCCCAAAAAAACAAGTAGCTAGTTGTTTTGCAGCTGCTATGCCCTGCAGCCAATAGGCTTTTAGAATGTGCATGTAGCACAGCGGGGGATTTTGTGACAGCAAAAAGAGTAGGACTTTACACAGACACTTTTGTAAAGATGAAACAGTCTGGATCAGTGATAAGTACCAAGCCCTGCTGCTGATGCTAACAATTAAATTTTGATTTTGATTCTGTCTCCAACAATATTATTATATATTAGGGCCTAAGCATCTCATTCCACCACTGTAAACCTGTAAGAAATGCCACCTCCTGCCACAATTACTTACTGCTTTTTTAGAATATGTAAATACTTTAATATTCATAGTCTAGGCTCATGTTTGCTGTAATGAAAAAACTAGTGTTATTAATTGGAGGATGAGGAGGATCCAGTTGAAGGGGGTAAAGCATGTGCCCAGGGAGGAGTGTGCGTGTGGGGTGTTGATTAGGGGACCAAGTAATTTGGCAGGGCTCAGGGTTGCAGGGCACGATTTTGTGGTCATTAATGTGGGCAGGGGGGACAGGGAGAGTTGTAGGTAGCAGGGTGTGGAGCAAAAGGAAAGGGAGTGTTTAGCTTCCAGAGGCTTCTGCAGAGGTTGGGGAAGGGCCATTTTGAAAGTGTTGGTGAGAGTCAAAAGGGTAGGAGTTTTTAGGGGTTACTAAATAGGGTGAGGGATTAGTATAGGTAAAGGGAAACAGAGGAGGATGTATTGGGGGGGGGGTGGGTGAATAGTGCTAGCTTTTTCTCTGGAACTAGTGCTCTTTCAGGTACTGTTGTTGATAAAGTTGATGCTGTTAGTGGTGCTAGTGGTGCTGTGTGTGTTCTTTCAGGTGCTGTTAACATTGCTGATGTTTGTGCTCTTCTTTGTGCAAATGATGGTGCTGGTTTTTCTTCAGGTACTAGTGATGGTGCAAGAGTTCTTCCTGGTTTTGTGTTTATGCAGGTGTCCATCCAGTGGCAACCACACTGTAGCATATTGGTAAAATAATTAGTCCTGTTAAAACAGCTATAAAATATGGCAAGCATATTCCATATATCCTTTTGATCCTTTCACCAGTTGTGTACAGAGAAGTGCTCCTTCTACCAAATGTTGAAGGAGTAGTGAACTCTATTAAATGTAACATGTCCTGTCTGAAAGCAGTGACAGGGTTTTGTAGTACCGTATATACTCGAGTATAAGCCGTCCCGAATATAAGCCGAGGGTGGGAAATGAGGCAGCTACTGGTAGATAGATACCATTAAAATACATTAATATTTATTTAAAAGAAAAATAACCTAGCTCTGTAAGTGGAAAAGGGGGTACAGGGCTACATACAGATCATTTAATACATTCATGTTAGTATAATTGTAAATGTATTGTCTGCACTGTATTAGCAGTATATACTCTATATAGAGTATATACTGCTAATACAGTGCAGACAATACATTTACAATGATCCTCTGCTAACATGAATGGGTTAAATGATCCGTAGTACATGATATGTAGCCCTGTACTATGGATCATTTAACCCATTCATGTTAGCAGAGGATCATTGTAAATGTATTGTCTGCACTGTATTAGCAGTATATACTCTATATAGAGTATATACTGCTAATACAGTGCAGACAATACATTTACAATGATCCTCTGCTAACATGAATGGGTTAAATGATCCGTAGTACATGATATGTAGCCCTGTACTATGGATCATTTAACCCATTCATGTTAGCAGAGGATCATTGTAAATGTATTGTCTGCACTGTATTAGCAGTATATACTCTATATAGAGTATATACTGCTAATACAGTGCAGACAATACATTTACAATGATCCTCTGCTAACATGAATGGGTTAAATGATCCGTAGTACATGATATGTAGCCCTGTACTATGGATCATTTAACCCATTCATGTTAGCAGAGGATCATTGTAAATGTATTGTCTGCACTGTATTAGCAGTATATACTCTATATAGAGTATATACTGCTAATACAGTGCAGACAATACATTTACAATGATCCTCTGCTAACATGAATGGGTTAAATGATCCGTAGTACATGATATGTAGCCCTGTACCCCCTTTTCCACTTACAGAGCTAGGTTATTTTTCTTTTAAATAAATATTAATGTATTTTAATGGTATCTATCTACCAGTAGCTGCCTCATTTCCCACCCTCGGCTTATATTCGGGACGGCTTATACTCGAGTATATACGGTAGCTGATTTTGCTTTGCCACCTCTTGGGTATGAGATGAGGCCATCCATTGATCCATTAATCAATTACAGTGGCAAGGAAGTATGAGAGCCCAGGGCATCTGATGTAGATTACACAAAATAGAATTAAAATTGTTAGTTATGCCAGTAAATATTACAGTGACATCATATTT